TGTCTTAAATCCTTTTAATGAAATTTATACACAAGCATTCCCATTTTGCCCTTACTCTTTTTTAGGAATTCTATCTATATCCTTTGATTCATTACAAACACACCCCCATATCAACATATTCTCCATGAAAATTCCTTACATTTTACTCCCCACTTTTCCTGCTAATTAGGGGTAGAATGGTCAAATTACCCTTAGGGAAGAAAATATCTAAAACTTAACAAACATTTTGGTCGGCCTGTCTCCGCGGCGAGGAAACTTTTGTCGCCGCGGCGAAACTGTCTAGTAGCTTCCCCGTGGCTTCAACACCTCTTCGCCGCGGCGAAGATTGGAACACTGAACTTCTTCTATTTTTAACCAATTTCAGGGCAAGTCTTCAACATACACTTGATCAAAGGTCAACCAAACAATAATACCAAGAAACCAACTCAAATAAGAGCAAAAGAAGAAAGAATAACTACGCACCCAAGTGGAGCGTTACAAATGCAGCATAAATAGCCCGGTTGTAACACTACTGAGATTCTTTTCTGCAGCTCCTGATCATTGCATCCCCACCTGGAGTTGGGAATCTCATTGCCTGGCAATGTATCGAGTTGATTGTACTCAGATCATCCAGGATCGGTTTTCCAAGGATTACATTGTAAGTGGTTGGGCAGTCTATTACTAAGAATTTTGTCATCACTGTCTTGATCTTAGGTTCTGCCCCCCGGGTCATGGGTAAGTCGATTGTTCCCTTGGGGACTAGGCTGTCCTCAATGAATCCATAAAGCGACGATTGACATGCCCTTAGATCTCGTTTTGTGAATCTTATTTCTCGGAAAGCTCTCAAGAAAATGATGTTCGTTGCACTACTATTATCGACCATCACCCTGAGTACTCAGGCGTTGCCGATCCTTGATGCTATCAGGATCGTGTCATGATTATGGCGAGGAAAATTTTCACATTCATCCATGGTGAACCTTGTCACCTCACTCTCTTGTCTTTGCTGCTTTGACGACTTCTATTCATAGCTCATTACTCGGGGGACCGAGTCTATTTTGGCCTCTCGAGCATATTGCTCGCGAGAGCACTGTAATATCCCACTTGAGATACGTATTTAAGATTTGCTGTATTAGTTAAAATTTTATTGTTTCAACTTTAATTGAGTTTGTATGTTGAGTTGGTTGAATTGTTGCCTTGAAATTGGTTGAGTTTTGGTGAATTTTGTAATTCTATTTTTTTCTGGGTTTATTATTATTTTTTTCTTTGTGAGGAGGAGGAGTTGCACCCACGGGTAGGTTCTGCCCTGTTTCGCCGAGGCGACGTAAAGTTCTTCGCCGCGGCGACGAGCCTAAGACAAAGTTTCTTGAGTTTTCTAGAGAATTCTTCTTTTGGGGCACAATGACCATTCTACCCCTAATTAGTAGGAAAAGTGGGGAGTAAAATGAAAGAAAATTTAGTAGAGATTGTGTTTGGATGGGGGTGTATTTGTAAAGAATCAAAGGATATAGATGGAATTTCCAAGGAAGGACAAGGGCAAAATGGGAAATGATGCTTATAATATGAACTAAAAAGGGTTAAGTGTAGAGAAACCCTTTATTTCTTCATTTCACCGCCTCTTCCATTTACCCATTTTCTCTCAATTTCTCCATCTAATCTTCCAAGATTTCTAAGGGATTTAAGAGGGGTTTTGAGTAGAGATTTCATCTAAAGCATCCTAAGGTAAGAATTCATGCTTTAGATGTGAGTTTTCTTATAATTGTAGTGAAGTCTTATTGGGTTGTTGCTGTCCTTGTGGTTGTTTTGAGTTGTAGAGAAGAGACAAGACCACAAAGGGAAGGAAAAGTGCTAAAGAATTCATCTTTGCACAAGGTAAGTAAATCCTACCAACTTGAGTTTTGAATAAGCTTTTGTGTAGAGATGTATGCATGTATCAGTATGTAGTATGCTTGATGAGAAATTGAGTTGAGATGAGTAGCTATTTTGTAGTTGTTGGATAGATTCCATGTATGAGAAGTGTTTTAATGTGTATTGAGAAATGGATTTGAGATGAAGTTTGAGAGATGTTGTGTGAAGCTTTTTGGAAGTGCTTTTCTTGACAGGGATTATGAGTATTTGAGGGAGTTTTTCCCCATTTTGGATGGCTAGAGAATGAAGTATAGTAGTAATTTTAGTAGAGTGTTTATATGCACATGAGTTGTTTGATGAAATGCCTAAGTGAAATCTGCCCTGTCACTGCCGTAACTTTCTCAGTAATTTTTGGGTATCTTACGGTTTGAACTGGGCTGAGACCAAAACAGAGAAGTTATAGCCCTGTTTCTAAGCTTTTAAAACGAGACCAAAACCATAGCAATCCGAGGTGTATAGCACAAGTTATGGCCGTTTTAGTGTGACCTGTGCAGAATGACGGTTTTGAGGAAATCTTGTGGTTGGCATTTCATTAGTGCATTAGGGAGCATGAGTTAGCTCTACACCTTTGTTTACACACTTGAGAAGTAGCTTGAGATTTAGTAAAGAATTTGAGTATAAGTTCTTTAAGAGTTAAGAGAAAGAGAATAGAGTAGGTTGTGCGATGGGGAACCCGTGAGTAATGGGTAGAGTATTCCCGCATGTACGCCGCATTGAGAGAGCAGCATGAGTATCAGATAGAGAAGTGGTGTAGCTCGTGAGAGTGCATGCGGATAAGGGCTATACCCGAGTACCCGAGAGAGAGATTATAGACTCACATGGCCAAGGGTTCCGAATCCATGCATAACCGAGTCCGATCGGCTAGAATGAGTAGAGGTCACGTAGAGTGGGAGCGAGTCCCGGCCGTGCCTCCGGTAAGATGGGGTCGTGACTTACTAAAGAGGTAATAGAAAAGAGTTCTAAGAGAAAGAGAAAAAGAGAGAAGTGCCCAAAGAGAAATTGAATGAGGAGTTGTAAGGAAAGAATTAGAGAGAGAGAGTTACGGGGCTAGCATGAGTAAAGGATTTACTTACTGAGCATTATTTTAGTGCTCACCCCGTTGTTTTCCTATGTTTTGCAGGACCTAGGTGAGGACACTGTCAGATAGATGTCGGCGTTCGAGAAGAAGCGGTTACACTGTCCTTTATGTTTTTGATGACTTTTGTATATGTTATACATTTTGTGTAAAAATGTATATGTTTGTAAAGAATATGTATATATGTTTAATAAAAGAAAAATTTGGGCCCAATTTCTTTATGTTATTTTATATGTATTTCATTATAAGCTTTTGAGTAGTAGTGGCTATTACAAGCACCTTGAGCTCCCTGGAATGTCAGGACCCCTATAGATCATGCCCACCACGACCTCTTTGTTGGCTAGGGTTTTCTGGACCTAATTATTCTACTTGTTTGTATTTTTACGATCTGGTGCCTCCTTAACAAATTCTTTTTGGTGACCCCTTCAAATCAAATCTTTGATGGCATCCTTTAAAGTCTAACACTCATTGGTGTTATGTCCAATGTCCCGATGATATCAACAATAATTATGCCTATCTCTTCTGCCCAAAGCCCCCCTCATTCTTTCTAAAGCAGGCAGTCTTTTAGCCTCATGGGAGAATTCATATATATGAGCTATGTCCCGAGTGAGGGGGGTGTATTCTACATATCGCGAGAATTTCCCCGCGATTTTTTGTTTTTTGCCTCTTTTAGAACCTATTATGATCTTTGTCATTGCGGTCTTGGCCCTTCCGTTTATCTGCTGGGCGATCTTGTCTCCTATCCAAGGCTCTTCACAGTGAGCTTTTGGCTAAGGCGGTTAGCGAGCTTTCTACTTGTTGATGTTTAACAGCCTTTTGATAAAATTTTGCCAGGCTCACATGGTCTTCATTTTGGAGCTCTTTCCACAACTCTGTCTACGACCTGATGCCTGCAATTAGCAAAGTCCGGATTTATTCTTCGAGTGCATTCGTGACCTTTGCTTGGCATTCTGGAACCTCGTCAGATATGAGGTTAGTGTTTCATCTCTCTCCTAAAAAATATTGCTCAGGTAGCTGAGCGGCATCACTCCGGCGACCATTATCTTTGTCTTCTCTTATGGGTTGTTTACCTGGTCACCTCCCGGTGTTAGTTTACCCACAAGGCTCTCGTTCATGGGCAGAATGTGCCTGGCAGTGCTAGGATCGTCGGTCGTTCCTCAGTGTCGACGAACCAAATTGGTCGTCAGCTGAGTTCCAACCTGTTGGGGTGATGACAGTGAAGCGTAGCCGATCAAGGTCTTGGGGAGCCAGTTGCTGATTTTTAACTCAGCCATGTTTTCTTGCACCGCCTGTGCAACCATCGTTCTAATCATCTCCACCAATTGGCCATTCTTGGGATTTGACGTCCCTGCCCCCAACTGGTTCGCAACCTGCTGCATTGGTGGTCTTAGTGGTCGATGCCCTGCGATGTCTTGGTGTACCTCCTGGTGGGTGGTCTCCAGGTTGTTATGGTTTCTAGGAATGGTCTTTGATCTGGTTCGAACCATCGTGGGCCTTGAGTGATCGGGTCACTAGGGTTTTTTTGCAAAAAATTCTGAAATTTGGCAAAGACCCTCCTTCTAACGCCAAATGTTGATGCAAAAAATACACCAACTAGAGCGACCTAATTGACCTTGACAGAATCAAAGTAGGTGTGTGCGTGATTACGAGTAACCAACAATGTAGTGAATTGGAAACGGTAAAATAAATAACACAGAGAGTTTTTAAAGTGGTTTGGCAAGTTATACTCTTGAGCTTACGTCCACTGTTCTTTGTATTTGTTGTGAGAGCTTACAATAATAATCCTAGAACAATTTGCTAACCCCTTTCTCATCATTGGAGGGGGTTTATATACAGATTTTGTACAAAGGAAAGAGCAAAAATAAAGGGATTACAATTAAGATTGAAATACAACTCCAATATTCTCGTTATCTGTGAGCTGGTTGAACAACTGCAGTGATTGGTCGCTACTAGCTGGTGCTAGGTTGAGCTACATCTCGACGAGCTTATGATGGGACGGACAATCGATTAAGTTGAACTAATTATGGATCGAGCTATAACCTCGTAATTCTCAGAGCTTGATCGAAAAATCACACACAACACCCATGAAACATGTGGGCACGGCTATGATGGTTGCACTCAAGTTGCAGAAGAACACTACTTCTAAATTTGATAGGTACATCTTAAGCACATCCGTCTGTTAGTTCATAAAATTTATGTTTAATTTGAAACTTCTTTGATCTAATTTTAGAATACAATAAACAAGTAAGATTAATGATATCTGAATGATATACCTGGATAATGTAAAAGAATGAAAAGAGTATGTATTCAGCGGCAAGCAAAAAGGCGCCGAGGACCCAATTTGACTGTGAGGAGGCAAGAGGCCGTTGAAGTGACAGTGATTGTGTTTAAGATGAGGACAATATTGTTGGGCCTTTATAAAGAACCACCACCTGATATTGATACTATGGTGCCACGTGCCAATGACTTTAGCTTGAGTGCTTGCATTCATTAAATTTAGCTTTTCCATCCTTTTTGGAATAGAGATTGAAGATGGTCACCAAGAAGAAAGGAATTCACAACAGTAAGTAGTCAAAGTACCTTGGTTTTAAGATAAATAAAAATGTCTCTCATATGGTGCGACAACTCTGCCATCTTTTTCTTTTTTCTTTTTTTCTTTTTATTTTTTTATTTTTTTTTTATTAAAAAAAAAACTAAATTATGCTATATGGTCAATGTTTTTATTACAAATCACGGTATTTTGGTTTTATATAATTACAAAAATAATTAGGGTAATTAAAACATACTTACATTTGATCAAAATACTAGAAGTTAAATTCCAAAAGTTTATATCAGTGACCATTTAATTATTAATTTGTCCGCAATTCAACATTTTACCCTATAGACTATTTTATTATTTGATCATCAATAATTGAGATGTTTACTAAAGTTGCAAAATAAATTAATAAAAGTAGCCAACAACAGAGTACAATTAATAATCAATTAAATTAAGATTATTAAACAATATTATTCTAGTCTTGGGGTGTTAAGAAATTAACACATTTAACTGGTCCACTTATACTCTACAGAAAATTTAAATAAATTTTAAGCATAGTTAATTAATCGAATTGTAAGGAAGAAGAAATAATAGAAACCTGAAAATGACTGCAAGAATGAAGGTAAAAGCAGGAGTGAGGTTGCTCATGGCTGAAGCAAGAGTCGGAGAGCTGTAAGCTATTTCCTTATAGCTAAATATCCGAGCTAAGCACCTGTCTTCCAGAAACAATAAAAGCCCTCAACTCCAAGGTCAGACCTCCAAACAACGAAAAACAGATTAAGGAAATTTGCTGTATGCATACCCAATAAGGCCGAGGAAGCAGATTCTAGAAATAAGAGGAAACTTGATTAATGGAAGCAGCCTTGAAGTTCTACGAAAGAAGAGGGCAACCGGGAGGAGAACGAGCGTGCCAATAGCATAAGAGTAGAAGATGAAGACATAATAGCTCATCCCTTTCAAAGTAGCTGCTTTGTAGATTACGTTGACGCCAACATTGGCGGACTCTAAACTAACCATGGCTGCGAAGAGTAATATCTCCTTCCATAAATCGCCCCTGTCCATCTTCCTTTCTCTTCCTTTCCTTAATTCTCAGATCTTTCAGAACCTTAATTCTAACTTTTTATCAGCATCTTGGGTCATCGTGATATGAAAAGATCCTTCTCCCTTTATTTATTAATGTTATTTAATATCAAATTATGGATGGTGATCACATAGGGTGTGTTTGTTCCCCTTAATATCAAATTACTGCACATATGATGGTTGAGCTCAGGTTGTAGAGGAACACAACTTCGAACTCTGATGGGTACATCTTAATCACTTCAGTCTGTTTAATTCAGAGAACTCATGCTTTACTTACTACTCTTTAAATTAATTTTAACATAATACTACACGTACAGACTTATGTATATAAATTAATGTGATACAAATTCAATAAAAATAAATACATCTAACAAATTAGTAATGATTGATATATAAGTAAAATACCTGGATAATATACCAGAAAGAAAAAAGTAGATATTCAACAGAAAGCAAAAGGCCACCAATGACCCAGTTTGATAGAGAGGAGCCGAGGAGAAATTGAAGTGAAGCTGGATGTGTAGAAGATGAAGATAAGATTGTTGGGCCTTTATAAAGAATCACCACCAGTGCCCCCGATATTGATGCTATTGTGCCAATGATTTTTGCTTGAGGTTTTGCACTCCTTAAAATTAACCTTTCCATCCTTTTTGAGGCATATAATTGGGGAAAAAAAAAAAAACAGAGATTGAAGATGACCACCAAGAAGAAATTAAGGAACTCACAAGAGTAAGAAATCTAATAATTACCCTTGGATCCACTTCCTGGACAACCATATATAACATCATGCATGTTTTCTTTTTGAGATTGATGGATGTTCTCAAAACTTTGATAAATAGTTTGTTTTATTTGTTTAATAAATTTTATTTTTTGAAATTTAAATGAACATTTTATCTAATAATATAGTTTTATTGAAATGACTAATGATGACACAAATTTTTGTTTTGCTAAGACATATTTTTTTTTTTTTTAAGTATGGCAATGGCTGTGGTTGTGCCTGCTTGAGTTTGGGTTTTGGATGGTTTTATTTTCTTGGTTGATGAAGTGGTGGAAGAGCATAGATTTTTGTTAAACTGTGTTGGTGATTTAGGTGGATTTTTGTTGCTGAGTTTTGTAAATAAATGCAGTTCAAAAATTGCTGGAGATGATTGTTTAACTACGGAGTTGTGGCCTGGGAAATCTGGCTTTTATTTTCTGTAGCAGTTTTGTAAAATGTTTTAATTGTTTAATTATTCAATTATTATTTTATTTCATCTTTTATTTTTTTAATTTGAAAATGAGGGGTATTATTGTTGACGAAAACTTTAGGGTGGATTCTCTCTATGATAACGACATGACCTAGAAATTAATTTACTGTTTGATCACCAATCATAGAGATATTAAACTCGCTCAATCGGAGTATCCAAATTCCAACACCAATCATGATAATATTGCATATTAAAACTATTCAATATCTGTATCGCCCCTGAGGTTTCTCCGATAAACAATATGTCCCTCAGGTATTTAAAATAACAATATACCCCTTAGTTTTAGTGGTTGTCTGACTATGTCAAGCCAAGAAAATGACTAATTCTAATTGAACCCTATCTCATCTTCTAAACCAAAAAAAGAGAATAACATAACCATAACTCACACCTTAGATCATCACCATGCCTCACAGCGTCACATCCTTTGCCTTGAACCATTGCCATGCCCCAACAACAGTCCACCCCCTTCTCCAAACCAACACCACGTCAACCATGACGAAGTAAAATCAACAAAAAGAAAAAAGAAAATTTGCCTCTGCCACAACAAACAAAAATTACAAAAAGAAATATTCTAGTTCACCACCATCATCACAACAAATCAAGGTAAGGAGAATGAGGGTAATTTTTATTTTTATTTTTATGAGCTTACGCACACCTCAACTAATCATCTAAGATCCTGAAACTATCTGTCGAATAAGAGCTCTAGTGGTCACTCCTATTAGCAACCGAGGAGGGACTCGAACTCAAGACCTCTTGAGTAATAACCTAAGAGTCTCTATTGAATTAGTCGACCACCCAAGGGTTGGTTTATTTTTAATACCTGAGGGATAAATTGAATAAACTCTATTTCAGTGAGCGGTTGTTAAGCGAACTCTATTTCAGTGGGTTGTTGTTAAGCAATTACAATCACAGACTTTCCACTTTCATAAATATTATATACTATACTACAGGAATTTCCAATAAATTAAATGTTAAGGATGAATTAATTAAAATTAATGAGGAAGAAGAAACAACAAAAACCTGAAAATGACTGCAAAGTGTGAAGGTAAAAGCAGGAGTGATGTTGCTCATGGCTGAAGCAAGCGTAGGAGAGCTGTAAGCTATTCCCTTAGAGCCAAGTATCTGAGCCAAAGACCTGCCTTCCAAAGCATTAATTAAAACTCTTTGATTTCAGGCAATTCCAAACTATAAGAGATTAAAGAAAAATACCCAATAAGACCAAGCAAGCAGATTCTAAAGATGAACGGGAACCTGACTGATGGAAGCACCGTTGAACTACTCCTGCAATAGAGATTGAATTTGAGAAGATCATAGTGAATATATATATATATATGAAGGATTGGATGATTAGAAGATTGAGAGAAAATAACCTGCGAAACTAGAAGGCAAAAGGGAGGAGGACAAGTGTGGCAATAGCGAAAGAGTAGGTGATGAAGCCATAGTTGCTCATTCCTTTCAAAGTAGCTTCTTTGTAGATTACACTTAAGCCCACACCGGAGCACTCTAAACTAACCATGGTTGCGAAGAGTAATATCTCCTTCCATAGATTTCTCCTGTCCATCTTCCTCTCCTCAAAGTAGCTAATAATTTATTTTGAGTCAAGACGTGATATTTAATTTATTTTTATATTTAGAGGAAGAATTTGATTTCAATGTTTAAAATACTATATGTGGATGTGCTAATTTTTATTAAGGTTTCAAACCGTATATTTTGGATTGAATGAGAGGTGACATCTGAAAGACATTTGGAAAATATAGCACCCATATTTTCAGTTCCCATATAAGAAGTTTTGTGGATATATTCAACCTTTGGTTTGATGAAAGTCACAATTTGGTTTTGTAAAAATGAGAAGTCATTCTGTACTCTTTGTCAATGCACTTCCTTAGTTACCCACTGCTAAATGGTGTAATTTTTTGCCTTTTAATTAGAAAGAAAGTCCAAAAGAAAATGATTCACTGGCCTTGGCCAATATTATAAGCTCCAAAACACTTACGTTGATTGCTTAATTACATACATGACATCCAAAATTGTGCTCTTTATTGTCTTCCCGTTTCAGTTTCTTCATTAGCTCTCTACTTAGCAAGCTTACAGACATCCACATCCATTTTTGTTGCACCTTGAAGAAGGATTCAATTTAATTTGCGTTTGTGCTGGATTCAATAGGCCTCTTATGTATCTTCAACTTTTTTTTAGGTAAACCCAATAATAACTTCTTCTGTGACTCAAAAACAAGACCTCTGTGTATAGCTAACCCCAATGGCTAAAGGTTTTGTCATCGGCAACAAGGGAGAGATGTATATTCAACTTTAAAGCTCTCAACAAAGGGCTCTTACTCTCACTGTTAATTGCAACAACGCTAGAGTCCTCCTGATTGGCCATTCCCCATAAAGCACTATAAAATCTTATACATATTATTACTACTCCAATAACGTTGCAATTAAATATAATATATCACAAGACCTATCCTAGCCTTGTCAATCTCATAGGATCCTGGCATTCCTATAAGACTCAAGAGACTAAGACGAGTCGTATATGAGTATCAAAAAATGGTGCATATCATAAATTCTGAATCTTAAAATCACAAATATTGGGTTTCAAGCCCTACAAACAACACATATGGAAATATGCATTTTATAAGTCTGTGGATGATAACCTTCATGCAATTTACATCATTATGTGCTACATGACATGCAAAATGAACTATGTCACATGGGCCCAACCTCGAGTGGAAATCACTACTCAACATGATCCTTGTGATGACTTGGAGGGGGAAATTTTTATAAAAGGATGAGCTGAAAGACTCAGTGAGTGGATAAGTTTATAAAAAGCTTTTCCTTTTAATACTATTTCACTTAGTTTATATGAATAAACCATTCAATATTACCAGTAAATTATCTTCACTGGCAGAACTTTAGAAACTAATAAATTTTAAGTACACTATCTATCAAGGAATTTTCTTTATTATTATTATCTTTATTATTATTATCTTGATTTCTTAACTCTGAATATTTGCTATGTAATACTGAAAGCTACAACTAGTGCCCCGATGGAATATTTGTCATACTCGGTGGGCATTCCACACTATTGAGATGTAGGGTTAGTTTTGTAAAAGCACTAAGCTGAAGTATAAAAACAACAATGTTTTGGTTTATTCAAAACTGTATAAGTGTGTTGTACTGACTGATTTTGTTAGTTAACGAAAATCCAGATTTCTCCACACACTCTTTTCATTGTTTCTTCTTCTCTTTAGCTAAGCTTAGTTTCTTTTTCGTAGCTAGAAATCGTTCATGGTATCAGAACCAAAGACAAGCATCAACGGCTAGCTTGAATCTTGAATCTTGAATCGTTGTCTCAAAACTCGATACAAAGCAATGCGGCACCGGCAGTACACAGAGCTTAGCAGTTCATTCGTCTCTGTCAAACCTTATTATCAAATTAGGCGAGAAGAACTACAATTATTGGTGATTGCATGTACTTCCTATCCTAGTTTTTCATGACTTGGATGGCTTCATTACAGGTACAAACACTTGTTCTCCCATCTTTGTAATGGAAAAGGTTGAGAGAACTAAACAATTATTTAAAAAATCGAACCCTAAGTACTTTAACTGGAAGAAAACTGATCAGTTCATTGTCAGTTGGTTGAATTCATCGATTTCAGAGTCCATGTTTAGACTTGTTTCAAAGTGTAGCAATTCGTATGAAATTTGGAATACGCTAGAACTTCATTTTTAATCTTTCTCTAAGGCTAGAACACTACACTTGTGTAACATGTTACAAACGATTAAAAAGGATTCTCAAA